AAAGATATTGATTCTTTATCTGTTTTGTTCATCAATAAAAATAACAAATTTGCAGAAAATACTTCGAAAATTGTTTGAAACTTTAAATTTAAGATATTCAAGACTGATTTCTTATTAGTTATTAAATAACATTTACTACAATATTAACAAACATCTATTTTCTGCGCAATTTTATTTATCAGTATAGAACTATTTTAACGTTTTTATCTCTTTCAATTCAACAAAATTTTTAAAATATATTTTTAAAATATATTTTTAAATTTTTAAAATTTTTATAATAATTATTTAAAAGTGCTTCAAAGATTATTTAATTTTATTAAATATTTTTAAAGTTTCGCAAAAATGAAAGACTAATAAAAATGGAACCAGGCAAAAATTTTGAGATTATCGCTTTTTAGAATCGCTCTCTAGTTATCTTAAAGTTGAATCTTGTGAAAACACGCTAATAAGGAATTACAATGAATGTGCTTAGTTTGAAGGCATTGAATTTTACAAAAAACACTTTCAAAAATAAGGCTAGTTTCTTCTAATTGTATCAACAATCAAAATTTGGATAAGTTTGGCAAAATTAACACTTACACAAAGAATTCTAAAGACAGTGATTGACCGATGTCTTTAATTATACTAGCCTGAAGGATAACTTGAAATGGAAAAGAATGTCTTAGCAGAGTTAAAATCTTACATTCTTCTTGATGACTATAAAAATTACCTCAAAATCTTAATTAGAATTCAAATTTTCGGTCAGGAAAGACTTTCGTCGAGATTTTTACTATTCGATGAGAAAAATCTGTGTGTCTAGTGCGTATAGGAAATCTGCTTGCCTGGATAAGTTCTCTATATATGCCTGTAACTTATATTATAATATATTTGTGCATCTAAGAGTATTTGATTTAACCAATATTTATTGGAATTTTGACACATTAGAGTTAGCGGAGAAGGATTAAAGAATAAGTAGAAAAGTTAAAATTTATTAAAATCTGTTTGTTCCTTGACAGGAATGCTCCAAAATTTAAATAAAATGCTTTTATTTATATCATGATGTTCGGAAAACTGTTAAGACTATTCAATAAAAAAATTAAGCTAAAAGTAAAGATCTAAAATATCTGAATCAGTATAGATGAATATTTACAATGTGTATGGAATTAATGAGAAAAATGCTCAAACTAAAACCATTCCACAAAATATAAAGAGTTCTTCACCTGTATAGAGTAGTCCTAATTCAACTCGTTGGATCTGAGGCTCATTTTCAAGCAGTAAAATACAGGTGAAGATTCCAATAGAAGTGACTAATAATTCTGAAAGAAAAACAAACTATCCATTACATAATTTGAGATGAAACAAATATAAAAATTTCATTTAAAAAAGTTATTAAGGTGTTATATGAATAACAGTTAAAACCTGACGTAAAGTCTTTACGGAATAAATATTAAATAAAACTCAAATGGCTTCTTAAATAGCCTGTCAATAAAATTGATGGGACTTAAAAATTTATGTCATTATAAGAAAAAATTTCAACTAAACTTAAACACAATTAAAATTAAACAATATTTATTTCGAACTATCCAAGACACTACTTAGAAAAACCAAGATTTAAATATAATGCAAGTTTAACAGTTAAAGAGTTTGATACTTAACTACATATAAAATATTGCAGTATATATATCATAATACTTTACAAAATTACAAACAAACTCCAAATTCGGAACAGGATAAGAATCTGATAGTACTTGAATCTGGGATGTCACAGTTTTATATGGGTGATTCTCGCGAAACATGACAATTCACTGTCCCTTGCTCTAAGATCTAATACTATAATACTAAAAGAACTTTTTTTTTAAAAAAATTAATAAATAGCATTGTTGTTAGCATTTAAAATGACTTTGCACTAGCATTGACTGTTTTGTACACTTAAAAAATTTAATTGTATATCAAAATATCATTTTACTGGCATGTCCCAAACAATATTTCCAATAATAACAACTTCAAAACTTTCCATCCATTTTTCAAAATCTAATTTTTTTATCTTATCCTATGTAAGCATTTCTAGAATATACGCAGAGGGTATTGTTTACTAAAACTTCGTTTAAAATAATTTTTTCTGTCAATAATTTGTTTGTCCCATGAAAATCTGTCATTTTCCTGGCTACTTTTATTTAGTGATTTATAACCAAAATAGATAGCGCCAGGAATCAATATCTTATGTTAATAGATTGATTAGATACCCTCCTATCTGAACATGTCTTGTTGCATGAATAAAGAACCAATTTTCTGGCTCAAAATCTATTTCAAAAAATTTTTCAAGGTGAGTAGGTTTTTATGCTGTCATTTTCCTGGCTTCTTGAAATCATTAATAACAAAAACTACATAGATTTATCTGAGTTATTTTAAGAAATACTGTTGTTTTCTGCAGAATATAAACGTCTTCGGCCAAAATATTAAATTAAAGTAAAGTTATATGCTATAAAATGGCGAATTTGTCATTATCCTGGCTGTCATTTTCCTGGCTTATGAATGCCAGGACATTGAAGTGTTACCAGAAATTCTTTTTAACTGCTAATACTGTAAAGAGGGAAAGCAAATATTAACCTAATACCAAGTTTATGTATGATTGTAATATGCTTGGATGTAATCAAAGTTATTTATTTATTTAATGATTGATTATTATACACAATTTTATTCTGTACATATCAGCAACAAAATTTTTTTTGTTTCTTTCTACAGTGGATAAAAAGAATTAATTTAAGCAATTTATGGTCCATCTAACATAAAGGCTTAAGTTGAGTTACTTACTATTAACTTAAAGTGACTGTTTTTTAAACTTCTAAGGTAATATGTCATTTCCCTGGCATTCAAGATTTGGTGAAATTCTATTTTATTTTTTTTCTCGAGCAAATGTCAATAAACTACACTGCTGTCTATAAGATATTAATAAGTGTAGCTAAAGAAATATACAAAAAAAATTTTTTGATTATTTTGAAGACCTTAAATTTGAAGAAATATTTTGGTCCGAATTGTCATGTTTCGTGAGAATCACCCATATACCATCGATGGTAGAGTGCAAGTAAAGCCCAAGGTTTTATTTACCCAAACGTTTTGAAAACTTATCTTTTAAACCAGATTTTGCTTAACTTTCATTAAAACAATTTTAAAAGTCCGATTTCCTTAAATAGCAAAGAATAAACTGACATAATCTTTTTATTGCAGATTAGTCTTAAATTTAGCAAAAACTATTAAAAATAATCTTTTTAACATTTGTCTTATCCCTCTCACTGAGTAATTTATCAAAATAAATTCAAACACTACGTAGTTTTATGACATACTTTCAAATATATATTTGAGAGTTAAAATAAAGAAAAATCTTTTTAAGGTTTCTTCGATTTAACATTAGATAAGAAGCTTGCCAGAAAATTTAAGAATCATGAAAGAAAAAATTTAAAAATACTTGGTTAAACGACTTATTTATGAAAAATAAGCATACAATAAATGCACAATTTGCAAAGTAATAATGCATGCTTAAAAATTCACAGCAATAATTCACAACTACAAATAGAGTTTGCGCCTAAAGAATTTTACTGAACAAATATTTTACAGAATATAAAGCAGATAACATACACATCTTTCTGTTATGTCCTTAAAGACAAAATTCAAATCTGGTTACGTTTCTTAATCAAAAAAGTGTTGCTTCTAGTCCCTTCCATACTGTGAAATTCAGTCTTCCGTTCAGCAATTGTCAGGCTACAATTAAATATTAATTGCAATTACTAGGACGTAAACCACTTATATAAGTTATAAGTCTCGATTCAGTTGTTTAGCAACCAAAAAGGTGATCAAACTCTTCCATTGGAATACATGTTTATAAAATTTTGCCATTGAGCAAAATTTAAAAGTTTATACTTTGCAGAAAATCTTTTAAAAATTTTCATGGAAGATTTTAAAATTATATAACTTTTAATCGAAAAATTAAACAGATCTTAAAATTTAAGAAACCTAACCAATTTTGTAACCAGCATAAGTCGTTCGATATAACGTAATGGTCTCAGAACGTTTCATTTTCTGCTTATTCTTACTGGTCAGGAAATCACTTTGGTTTCTTAAGATTCAGATTTATTTAGTGCTCAAGAGCATAATTCAAAAAATATATATCATCTGTATATTCCTTGTTTCTTCTGTAAATTTCCTGTTATTCTGTTTGAATAATCCTTTCTTGGTAGTGCTTTGAAATGCTATGCGCTTAAACATTTCGTTAAAGCTATGTTCTTTTATTATAAAGTAATTTTATATTAAAATAATACGATGCATTTTATAAATATTTAAAATTATCCTTTAACAGTTTTACAATTATTTAACATTATTTACTTTTTAGTAAGATATTTAAAACTTCAAAATATGCTACTAAAGTAATGACAAAAGTGAGACATCTGGGACAAGCATTACGCCTTAGTACTAAATAATTTAATCGAAAATTTCATAGCCATTTAAAAAGTTGTGCATGTTGCAATAGTAACAGAACTAAAAGATCAATTTAAGTTCAATCCCAAGTAGAATAAAGAATTAAATCACCGGATACATTAAAGCCTTTGGTCTTTTAATTTTGATTAATTTAAGTTCTCTTGCTAATATATAAGGGGGAAAATGATGATATTTTTTCCAGAGTTCTATAATTATATTTTCTCTAGTTCAGAGTTCTATAAATATGGCAAATACTCATAAATCAATATAAATAATCGAATACATACACAAATTTAACTTTAAAAAAAAGAAAAAAGGATTCGACAGAAAATATCTCGTTATAAATGTTAAGAAATTGAACAATTTGTTAAAAAAAAATTCTTCCAAATAGAACCTAAACACTCTATGAACCCCTAAACCAAGTATAATAAAATTGGATGATGCTTTTTTTTAAGCTTGGGTGTAAAAATTAGTTGGAAATAGTAACCCGGAAGTCTCACAGCGAAGTTCGACTTCAGCGCCATCTGCGCTCAGCTTAACACGGTCATCCATTCAACAGCAGAGCCCCAAATATTTATTTATTTGTGTTTTGAAGATGGGTGGTTATCACTGCAATTTCTTTAGAAATCTTTGCTTATGAATTTTTTGTAACTATTGTGTAATTTTTGAATGATTTTTATTAAAGAGAAATATAATTGTAGTTTTAAAATAATTTAACTAAATGATTTGTAAATGTTATTTTTTGCTCCCTATCTTTTACTAAGAGTTACTATAATTTTTAAGTTTGAAAGGTTGAGACATGTAAATAATGCTGTAATGGAATTCTCAGCATTTATTTCTTAATAAAAGGACTGTTGTTAATTGAGCGGAATTGGTATCTTTGATTGTATATCTACGCATGCAATCTTTTGTTAAGTAACTTCTGTTTCTTAAATGAACAAATATTGAATTGAATGAATTCAATGTGATCCGAGGATGCCTGATAACGAAAAACAGTAAGTATTTTCATATAATTATAATTCGATGTTTTACAGTAATGTTAGAACGGCCCTTTCTAATGGTGATATGTACCTTCGACGTATTACTTCCTGGCCTATGTATGTGAATTACTAAGATTGATATTAAAGTATTATACTATTAACATTAAGAATTTCGACATTTGATATTTAATTAAAGGAATGTTGTAAAAAGAGCGGAATCGTTATCTCCTCTTGTATGCGCATACAATCGTTAGTTAAATAATCTCTGTTTTTTAAATAAACAAATATTGAAATGAGGGAATTCTAGTGATCCAATGATGCTTGGAAACTAAAAACAGTTGTTGCTTATAATTGTAGTTTAAAAACAAAGTTAGTACGGTCTATTGCAAGAAAAAAAGTATCTTTTTTCAACCCTACTTAGTGATTAACTCAGAAGATAGGTGCCTTTTATCAATAAAAATCGCTCAGATATGCTTTCTTTTTTTATCTATTTTCTTTTGAAGCTAGACTAAAATATATATGTACACAATGTAAACTTGAATCAGGAAATAATCTAAAATAAACTGCAAAAGCAGATGTGGGTGTTTGTATTTTAAAATTCCATTTCATTTGTTTTCATTTTGAAACATTGCTTTAATAATGCTTACTATGCAACAATTAAAAAAAGAAAACCTCTGGTGATATGTGAAAAAAAATATCTAGTATTTCTACGGAAGCCCACTCAGGGGTCTGTCCAGATATTTTGTGAAAGGTCCTGTTTTTGTAAAATTGGGAAAAAATTACTCGTAATTTGTGAATATAAAATGAAGGTTAAGTCACATTCTTTCAACCAGGGTCCTGCTTTTATGAATTTGTGCAAATGGATGGTGTTTTCTACACTAGGGAATGCTGTAAGCTCCATACTGCCTATACTTCCGGTGTATTTTAAAGCCATTTGGCTCACAACTTGATCATTGTGCTTTGAGATTCTTGCAAACGTGGTATTTTATTACTCTTGTTTACAATGCTAATGATTGTTACACCAACGTAAGATGGTGCACAGCTTGCAACAAGAACAAACAGTAATAAACAAATGGAAAGAGGCCACATCAGGACTGCTAAAAAAGTGAGTTATACAAAGTCTAGCAAACATGTCACCTTTTTTAACAATATGTCTATAAATAACTGAAGCAAATTTTCACTTCAAACTCACCAGAATTACTTAATAACATAAATATCTTACGAAATACAGCAGATTTGAGCTCAGAAATTATCTAATTTACTTCTTTTATTGAAAAAAGAATTATCCGTTGGAAAATATCGCCTTGCAGAATAAGCTGTAGTAAGCAGTTGCAAACTTTCTAACCGGAACTAGAGCAGGTATTGAGCTCGAAATTGTTATTGTTTTTATTTATAATATAAGTTTTATATTAAAAACGCCATCCATAGCGTCCTGTTATTGAAAAAATCTTTTTCAGGGAGTTTTTAAATTGTGAATAGATGTAAGATTATGCTCAACACTGTAAAATTAAAATGAAAAAAATTAGATTTTCAAAAATAGTCAGCAATTGCTGCTTCTAAATTAGAGATACAAATATTTAGTATTTATTAACAACATACAAATATTTAGTATTTAGCCTATACTGCTGATCACAGAATATTAATTTTGGATGAATAATGGAAGAAGCGTCTGCTGAGGACCAAACTTAATTTGTTTACATTCATCATTTTTCCCCCCTGCAGGGTTGCCACAGGCTACTAAAATGCGACTATTTGATACTATTTTCGGCCTATGGCGACTTTTTTTGCCTGAAAAGGCTAAAAAAAGCAACTATTTTCAGGAATAGGCGACTATTGGGAGACTTTTTTACTCTTAGCGAAGTTATTTTTATACTCATACTCATTTTTCGTAGACCTACTGTTACTTTGTGATTGCTGCACAATCGCTGTTATCTTAAACTTTCGTTCTGAACTCTATAGATCAATGAAAAGAAAATATAAATTAAAAAAGTTTCTTCATTGGTTTTTTTCAATTATTATTTTTCATTTTAAGCGATACAATTTAATAGGGGTATTTTGTACTTAATTTTGTTATAAAAAGTTAGTTTTTTTTCAAATTTATTTAATGTAGGTAAGTATAATAATTTGATTATTTTTAAACCAATAAATGTTCAGTTGTTTTTATTTATAAAAAAATTAAAATAAAGCTTACCTTTGTTTAATTTGCTTTTATTTTTGAGAAACTGAAAATAAAGTTTTAAAAAAATTTGGCTATAAGTTAAAAAACAAAATTTTTTTAAAAAATTAAATAAAGAGTTTAGTAATGTTTGGACGCTTTTTAATAATTTAACATTAGTACTTAAAGATTTTTCTTTTTTAAATTTTATTAAAATTCTTTCAATACTTGTTTGTCTTATAATCTGTTAGATAGTCAGTGTCATTTTTAAAGAAATAAATCTTTAGTCAATTTTATTTTCAAAAACGAAAATAATAATAAATAAGTAAAAATATTTTTACATTTATTCTTTATTATTTTAATTGAAAAGTTAAGCAATGATATTGATATTATAGTAGAATATGTTTAGAATTAATATTTTCTTTTGTAATAGATTTATTCCTTTTTATTTATTTTTGATTGATTTCCCATAGGTAATTTCTGAACATATGCTAAATCGCGATGTCTAACGGACGATTTATCACGATTTAAAATTTCTGACATCAACCAGTCCTTATCATAGTATTTGACAATTAAGCTACAATTAATTTTAATTATTTGGCTACTATTTTTGATAAATTTTTGCTCCTGTTCAGGCAACTATTTTTATAGTTTTAGGCAACTATTTTCATGCTTGAGGCTACTGAAAGCAACTATTTTTGTTCATTTTTTACTGTGGCAACCCTGCCCCTGGGAAGTGTTTATTCTATTATCAACAATAATGAAAAAGAACAAATTTGTGAAGGATCCGATTAAAAGAAAAATTACTTTGTGAAGGGTATATATTTTATGAAGAGTCCGTTAGCGAACTCAAATTTCTTCTTAACAGACCCTTGCCATTGCAATATAAGGTAGGAAAAAAGGAGACCAATTCAAAAGATCTCATTAAAAGACATGAATAGTTATGAGCTAAGTAAAATAGGACTTAAATAAAATCAACGGAAAAGGAACAATTCAGAATGTTTCTTTAGCCTATGATTAATTAAAATCAGAAACATACCGTCCGTATGCGTGATTAAATATTTTGTCCGTTTTAATTTTAAACTGTTTTTTAAAGGGTCCACATTGGAAGAAAAATTCTATGAAGATTTTGTTAACAGATTATTAATTGTATTTTTTGTTAATATTGTTTATTTACAATTACTTTTGTCTTTTATTTTTTCTATTAACGAATTTTTTTTAAAGTATTTTGTTTACATGTTTGATTTATCTTTTTTCAGGGCTGAAAATACCAGTCCTAATCAACCAAAGATTCATGGAAGCTCATCTCTAGATAAATCTAGTGGCAGCTCTGGCCCATCAACTCCACATCATGATCCTGATCACAGCCGTAATGATTGTCATCTCTTAAAGCGAGATCCTTTGTTAACTTATGGCGAACTAGTTATTTTAGGGTATGTAATATTTATATTTCCATTTAGATTACAAATTATGCTTTTTTTTTAAAAAAAAATTTTTAATTGAGGAATAGAGATGGAAGTTACTATCTTATATTGATCAACCCTGGCTGTTCCAATTTCTTCCAAAACAGGTATTTTTCACAATGCCTGTTACATAGATGGTTGAGTCATTCATTAGATGACTGAGCGATGATGAAAAACATCGGAAGCAGATAGTGAACTGATAGATAGAATCACATCACGGGATTAAAATAGCCTTGACATTAAATAAAAGTCACAAAATTAGCTAATAATTAGCTGTATTTAATTTTTTTGTAAATATATGTTCCCAACAATTTATTTACAAATTATAGTTTATTTTACACTTTTTGTTGGTTTTACAGGAATTTTAAAATTATTGAATTTTTTGAATAATATGTGTATATATCTACATTTTTACTTTTCTGTAATAAATATTACATGCGTGGAATGATGTTTTTGATAGGTATAATGGCACGCTGCCTCAAGGGGAGAAAGGAAGGCGACGAAGCAAATTTGTTCTTTGTAAACGTCCAGTTTCTAACGGAGTTAAGAAATCGCAACATTATGTTGTCAAAACTCCTCAATCATCAAAGGTATTTTATCATTTATTTCTTAGATACTTATTTTAAAATGCTTAAGTTTGAATTTTAAATTTTTAAATCTTTTTATAATGTATTGTTCTTAGGCAATTTTAGACAGCAAACAACATTCTATATCGTACACACTAAGTCGAAATCAAGCTGTTATTGTTGAATATATGCCAGATGATGAAACAGATATGTTTCAGGTAACATATTTCATTTATAATGTCTAACTTCTAATAGATAATACCAGAACAAGGTGACATATAAATACTTATAAGTAAAGAGAAGAGTAGCGCATGTAGAGTATAAGTATAAAGTATAATAATAAAGTAATAGTATAAAGTAAGGATTAATAGGTTCTAACCTCAGTTACATCCATTAATCTCTCTAACATGAACCACTAATTGCTTACTACCATGAGCATAGGGAACTGTAAAATCTTATTGATTTTGTTTGTACTAGGCTTGACTAGTTTATTGACATTGATAGCAATTTAGAAATTATAATTATGTTACATATATCTATGTATACATATATCTATAATTATGTTACACACACATATATATTGTATTAGAATACTTTTCTAATCCTGAAAATTTTATGAAAATTAGAGGGTCAACTAATAGAGTGGGACATCATCATCGGATGTTGATTGCGAGATATTGATGTGTTATAAAGAATGAGATACATATTAACAAAAATCTCTCTGAATTTATCTCTTTTAAAAGGGATATACAGTATTTTGCTTTCATTAGCATGTTTGCTGCTGACCTCACACCAGCACGTCACTATCATGTACTGGTGTGAGGGCAGCAGCAGATGTGTTACAGTCAAAATTTGCCATTACGAGTTTATTTATTGTTATTTCAGTCATTGGCAAGATTGTTACAATTCCAAAACAAAATATTTTATATGCTCTTTGGTGAACATTTTAACCTTTTTTTTTAATCTACAACAGTGCAATTTTACCAATACCTTCAATCCATTTGGAAGATGTTTGCTGTTTTAATTTTAGTAATATCGAAGATTTTGTTTTTATAATTTCTGTTAACTTGTCATATAATTTTAACACTAATAGGCAAAATTTAGTCCTTCACTCTTTTATTTTTTTCAAATTGTCAGTCTCATAGCAAAGTTCATATTAACAACATTTACATAATAGGTGTCACAATTTACAGTTAATACTCACATGATTTACATCTCATTACTTCAAGTGTTTTTCAAATAATATTTTTCTATTCAAATCGACCTGATTTATAATTTCGGGTTTCATAGTTGTCCTGATATGTACCTAATAAAAATATTCTTTCCTTATTTGTCCTGATTTTTTGCATTTTGATCTGATAATACAGATTTTTTTTTTGTTTATTTAGAACATACTTTTTCAATGAACATGCAATTTTAAAAGATCATTTGAATTTAAAATTTTATTCACTAAAAAAGAAATAAGAAAAACTAAACTGATGAATGTTCAAAACTTGTTTCAAATGAAAGGGAGTTATAGAGAATAAAGGAACACCTTTATCATTTCCTTTTCTTCAGAAGAACAAATTATTGTTAAATCAGTGTTGGAACAAAACAAAAAAATCTACCCCACCCTTTTTCAGAATCATTTTCTTATTTTGTCATTCAGTTGGCAGGCAATTGTATCTTTCTCTATGAATGGTTTCCACACAGAGTGGACTCCACTTTTCTTGACATCCCAAGGTTCCTACAAGTAGCCTATGATTGGCTCATCTTGAATCAGGGTCTTCCAATTATCTGCCATCTTGTGGGCTGCGACTCCATTTAATTGGGTCGCACAAGTGTCACCGTTGTATTTTAAAATATGCATTGTAAAGGGACTAGTAATTTCTTTCATATGTTTGTTGACTACAAAAGATAAAGAAGTATTTCTAATTAATCTAACTAAAAAAATTGTATCTAAGATTGGAAGATCTTCTGAGAGCCCTATTGACTTCGTTGTGATGGACACTGTACCTGGTGATAAAACAGGAGAAGGGAAAGTAAGCCAAAGTACAATTTCCCGGTTTGCTTGCCGAATCCTTATCCACAGGAGTCCAACATATACAGCTCGTGTATATGCTGCTGGATTTGATTCATCTAGAAATATTTTTCTGGGAGTAAGTATAGAATTAATAGCATTAGTAATTTTTTTCTTAGTTAGTGAGTTTTAGTAATGTGAAATTTTCAATTGCCATGTATTTAGGAAAAAGCCACAAAATGGCAACAAAATGGTGAAATAGATGGTTTAACAACAAATGGTATCCTTATTATGCATCCTAGAGGCACATTTTGCGGTGGCTCAGAGCCTGGCATATGGAGAGAAGTGTCCGTAGGTGGTGGTGTCTATGCACTTCGGGAAAGCAGATCAGCTCCACAAAAGGGCATGAAGGTATAAACTATTTCAATTGCAAACAGGGTGTGAATTGGATCTCATTAATTTATCTTAACCTGAAAACTTGAATTTAATCTAATGATTAAAATAATAATAATAATTTTTCTAAGATTTAATTTTCTAAAGGCTAGATTGAAACCACCAAAAACTTATGTTTATTTATTTTTCAAGAAGAAATGTAATGTGTCCCTATTTTTTAGCTGAAAAGTAACTTGAATTTTCCTTTAAGTAACCAGTGAAGTTTGCCGAACAAAATAATATAGTATTAAGACATCAAGACTTTACAAACCGTGTAGTTCATTTGATAACTACTGGAAAATCGACCAAAATTGGCATTATCATGGGAAAAAAATATAAAGTCTATACTAATTACGTAATTTTCAGGCATAAAGCAGGTGAGAAAGCAGTTTGCTCCAGTACAAGCAAATCTGAGTTGAATAAAAGTTTTTAGTAGTTTGCCCGCGTAATATAGTGCTAAAGGGAACTCAAGGGCAGGGTAGAATTTTAGCTTTTAAAGAAATAGGCTGATATGGCTCTCAAATTCCAAGTAAAATAGGAAAGTCCAAGGATGCAATAAATAGTCGCCTCAGAAATTTTGAAACCTCTGGCAGTAAACAACGTATTGGAAGGTAAAAAAAAAAAAATCATCAAGGCAAGAAAGACAAATCTGGAGGCTTTGCTTGTCATGATAGATGTCTTCTGTTCAAATTAAAAAGGAAATGTAGTTACCATGCAGCAGCTGCATGGTTAGAAATTATTTAATAAATATTTCAATTCAATTTGAACATTCAATTTGAAAATATTAAAGGAAAATCTCCGCTTACTAAATTGCACAAAGACACTCATTTAGCATTTGCAAAGAAACATTTTAAGAAAGGTACGAATTGGAGTGTCTTTTCTGACGAAAAGAAGTTTAATTTGGATAGACCAGGTAATTGTCGCTACTTTTTGCGCGAGTTAAGAAATGAACCACACTTATTTTCTGAACGTCAATTTGGTGGGGGTAAATTATGATTTGGACCGCTTTTGCATCAGACGGTACAACTCCAATTATATTTATACAAACTAAAATTAATTCAGTTATGTATCATTATATATTGGGAAATATTTTTAATTGCGTGTTGCTCCTTTACTAACATCTGGAGACTGGACATTCCAACAGGATAATGCAGCAGTCTATACTTGGTGTTCAACTAAATCCTTGATGAATGCAAATGAAGTTATATCCCTTGAGTGGCCATCTCGTTTCCTGGATCTGAATGTAGTATCTGCACAATTCCAGTACATGAGGCAAAAGCTGACAATTCAAATGCAGAGTTCGAATTTCTCGTTTCTTAATAAATACATTGGTATTTTAAAAACCACGTGTAAATCAGTAGCAATGTCATAAAATAGATCTGTAAATTGGAATTGTTAAACGGAATCAAAAAATTCTGTAAATTGACCTTTTTTTACAATAAAGAACTTTTTAGCAGCCTTTTTTTTTTTATTGGGCCAAATATTTTCCAAGGGCTTCCTGAATTTCCCCTGAATCTTGTTCGTGTGATCGGACATATTCTGTGCTAATGATGAAGCTATTCTTGAAGAAACGAACTATAACTATTAATTAGATTTTCATTTTGGAACATTTTTTTTTTAGTGTTAATGCTGAAAGCATTCTGGTAGTTAGTATAAAGAATTTTACTAAGGTTTATCTTAGCGGTTTTATCTGTAAATAATTATTCTTATCTTATCTGTTTCTTCTTTTTTTCATTTTATATTATTTCCTCAAAAATCCTATAGATATGGTCATTTCTTCCACTAATACATTGATGCCCTTTTCTATAACATTTTTCTTTTTACCTTTAGTCACATTTCAATCTATTCTGTTCTAAAATTAATAATAGTAGCATTTAGCCTGACTAACTTTTAATTGTTTTTATTAAAATTACTTTAGATAGATGATGATACAAATATTCTTCAAGATGGAACTTTAATTGATCTTTGTGGGGCAACTTTGTTGTGGAGATCTGCTGAAGGGCTTACCAAATCCCCTGTAAGTGCAACTTGCTATTAGCTATTAATTCCTTTTTAACTTTTGTGTACTGTGGTTTTTGTTAACAATGGATATTTTTGCAAAATAAACAAAAGAAAAGAAATAAAAGTTTAAAAGATTTCAATATTTATTTTTTATAAGTATGTATAAATTATTAAAATCTCCATTTGCAATGAATGTTTGATTTTTAAATTATGTTAAACCTAGACATTAATAATAATAAAAAGAGAATTTTTTTAAAAATGTATTTAGGACATAGGCTGAATAAATTTAATACAAAATCTAGTTCCATAATTGCAACGAACTGAGAAATAAACTCTGTATTTGTGATAATAAGTAAAAAAATATTATTAATGTCATAGTTTGCAATCTAGCATAAACATTGTATCATCAATGATATGAAATCATAATTGAAAGACTTAGTTGAAAAAAGTTTTAAAGATGAACTTTTCAGAAATTGATATTTCTTGGAAAAATCCTTTTTTAATTGTATATAACTATTCAGCATTAAATTTTTTGCCAAGTCGTTTAATTTCGGAGATCTCTGTAGATAAAGGTTCTTTTTGACAGTCTTAAAGTTTATCTGCATAGTAAGAACATTTCAAGTACATCTGGCAAAAAGAAAGAAAAAATCTACTTCAACCTCCCAAAGCCTTACTTTTTGCTTTGTATTAAAATTCTGAACACTACAACACCTTTAGTTTAAATGATTTGTGGGGATTTCTTAGGAAATTGTAAGCTTGGGGATAAGAAATAAAGACAAGAGAAGACGTAATCTTTATTTTCTCTCAAACATAGCAATACATAAACATTAGGACTGGGCGATATAAGACAATGTTAGACATTGCGACATAACATACGTTAATATTTTTTTTCAATCAAAGCTACACAATCAGAAATCTTTAATCAATCAACAAAAAAAAATTAATAAAAGAAATGAACTAAAACAAAAGAAAATGTCAATTCTAAAAAAATGCTTTTATAACATTAATAGCATTGCTTAACTTTTTAATTATAATAATAAAAATGGATTGACTTAAGACCGATGATTTAAAGTAAAATTAAGCGCAGGCTTNAAAAAAATTAATAAAAGAAATGAACTAAAACAAAAGAAAATGTCAATTCTAAGAAAATGCTTTTATAACATTAATAGCATTGCTTAACTTTTTAATTATAATAATAAAAATGGATTGATTTAAAGTAAAAATAACTGCAGGCTTTGTTTTAATAATTTTTAAAATTGAAAATGACTTAAGATTTATTGGTTTGAAAACAATAATAAAATTCTAAGACAATATTTTACTTACAGGTATTAAAAAAAAAAAGAAAAAACGAATGTTTTCTTTCTCTATGCAATCAAAGTTTAGTTTCTGGACGATTGTAAGGCTATTATCATTTGTTATTAAATTATGACTTATGAAACAAAATAAAATTTGTGAACCAAACCTCTGAAAGTTTAAAATTTTATTGCTAGTCGCATGAAATAAACATCCCTAAAATTACAAAATAATCCTTTAAGTATTTCTTGAAAAATTTAAAAAGTGTCAAAAACTTAGTGCCTCTTCCATCAATGTAGGGTAGTTTATATATATATATGTAACATAAAAAGCTTCTATTAATCTTTTTATGTTATCCTAATTAATTATTCTAATCGAAATACTTTCTCACACTTTTAGAAGCCACATCCTGTCCTTAAATCTATTTTTGGCACAAGTATGCATTTAATTAAAAGCAGGACATTTTTCCGTTTGCTCTGTGTGGGAAATGCTCGATCTATTTCATAAACCAATAGCAACTACTAAGATTTCCCTAAATTAAGACATTTTACGGATTTTACTTTGCAAGATTTTCCCTAACATATAACCGAGGAGCGCAACTTTTCGTGTTCACTTTTACACTTTCTCATGACTGCTCTGTCTAATAATTAATAAATAAATTTTGTACCCTCCTTCCCGGCCTAAATCCTGTTTTAATCCTTCCACTCGGCAACGACGTTATATATATATACACACACTACCCTATATACATCTATAAAGAACTTTCTGCAATAGGAAGGAAAATTTCTTTTTAGTGTGCATATCCTTATTAAGATTTTATTTTTAAAAAGTGCGTAAAAATATTTTTTAAGTTTCCTAAAGGTGCTTATTTTTTGTTGAAAAATTTGGCTATGCACCCTGTGATTAGCCAGTGCTGATTTTATATTTTTTGATTCCCTACTTAGTAATATTTGTGACTAAACATATTGTATGCTTTATTTGTTTTACAGACAAAACACTTATTGGAGGAAAAAGTCGATGAACTTAATGCTGGGCGTCCACAATGTCCTGTTGGTTTGAATACTCTTGTCATTCCACGAAAATCAACTTTAACATCCAGTGATAAACAGCCGTATGTTTATCTTATATGTGGGCACGTTCAAGGTTTGCATGATTGGCGTCAAGATAAAGATTCTCCTAATTCTCGTCAATGCCCGATGTGCCTGCTTATTGGTCCTGTGGTAAAACTAACTATGGGAATAGAGCCATCATTTTATGTTGATTGTGGGCCACCAAACTTTGCCTTTAATCCATGCGGCCATATGGCGACTGAAAAAACTGTTAAGTGAGTTATAAAATTTCATGGAAACTCTCAGTTCATATTCCGTATTTGTGCGATTCGCACATCGCAATTTGTATTTACATAATTAAAAAATCACCATTGTGATCTGCATTAGTCCGATCCCTCATCACGATCTGGATATGAGTAGTTTAAAAACAGGGGGAAATATCAATACCTTCACAAAATATCTTTTCATAAAAACGGACCCTTCACAAAATATTTTAACTTAAAAACGGACCCTTCACAAAATATTTTAACTTAAAAACGGACCCTTCACAAAATGATTTTTCTTTTAATCGGACCCTTCACAAATTTGTTTATCTTCATTATTGTTTTATTAATCGAATAAACCCTTCCCAGGAAGGGGGTGGGGAGAAAGACAGATGCAAACGAACTAAATTTTGTCTTCCGCAGACGCTTCTTCCTTTATTCGTCCGAAATGAATATTCTGCGTTTAGCAGTATTAGGCTAAATACCAAATATTTGTATGTTGCATCTCTAATTTAGTAGCTGCAATTGCTGCTTATTTTTTAAAATTTGATTTTTTTAAATATAATTTTAAAGTGTTGAACATAATCTTGTATGTCTTTACAATTTAAAAACTCCTTGAAAAATTTTTTTTTTTGCAATAACGGACCCTATTTGCACAAATTCACAAAAGCGGACCCTGGTTGAAAGAATGTGATTTAACGTTTATTTTATATTCAAAAATTATGAGTAATTTTTTCACAATTTTACAAAAACGGACCTTTCACTAAATGTCTGGACAGATCCCTGAAAAAATTTATACATCGCAATTTGTATTAGTGTAATTTAAAAATTAGTCATCATAATCCGTTTAAGTGTGATTTAGAGCTTGCACAGTGTGATCCGTATATGTGCGATTTAAAATCTTAACATCACTATTTGTATTTAGATGATTTAAAAATCACATATCTTGATCCACATTCATGCGAGATAAAAAAAAAATCCTAGGACTTGGTCAATATTTGTGAGATCTAAATTTTACTACTTGTGAACCACATTTGTGCCATTTTAAAAATTATGCATCGTAATCTGTATTAGTGCATTTTAAAAATCATAGTGCTACTTGTGGCATCTAAAAAACACACATCGCGATTTGTATCCATGTGACTTTAAAGTCACACGGCCTAATCCATATACGTGCGATTTTAAGAAAATCTCAAATCATGATTTGTATTGACATGATATAAAAATCACAGATTGATATTTTCAATCACAATATTTATAAATGTCACGACGTGATTTATACCCATGCGATTTTAAAATCAGATATCGCACTTTGTATTTGCCCAAATTAAAATATCGCATATTGTGATGTGATTTAAAAATACTTGTGATTTGTATTCATGTAATTATAAAATTGCACATCGCGATTATTTACATAAATAATTTATTATATTCAGAATGTGAACGTAAAATATTTAAAACAATAAAATTTTTGTTAGACTAATTTTTGACAGTGCTGGTTTTGTTTTTAAAACTTTTTAAGTAAATACAAATTTTTTCTATTTGAGATTAGAAATTTATTTTTTAAAATTTGTATTTTATTTTGATTTTATTTGATATAATCAAAATAAGACTTAAAATATTTTTATTTAACATTATTTTCCTATTTATTCTCTATTTGATATAAGCGTCACTCTTTTATGGTACATATTTTTAAAAATTTCGTATTTATATCAAATATTTAGAAATTTTTTATAACATAAACAAAGTGTTTAAAAAGAAAGAACTCAAAATAAAGATAAGTTGGTTTAAAGTTTTTGTGTTTAGTTGTAAGAGAGAGTGTTCTTGTTCTTAATACAATATAGTTTAATTATCATATAGTTGATATATTTTATTTTATACATAATTTATATTAAAATTATATTTGTTGTATTCAAATAAAAAATTAACTAAACCAAAATTCTTTGAACCTGATAAATATTAAAAATTTTAGTAATACCTAATTTTCAAAATGATTTCAGTTTCAAGAATTAATATTTTATTTTAATGTTAGAAAAAAAAATTTATTTCCACTTTTTAAATATATTTATAGTAATTTGATAGTACATGGAATGATGTTGATGCTTTTGTTTCTTTGAAATTAAATCAACATAGGCCTTAGAATTAACCTTTTGAAAATAGCATATTTGACTTTTGTTAGATAAAAAAAATTAGCTTTGTAAATGTTCTTAAAAGATATTATAAAATTGTATTAAATCTATGTTTTAATTTTTATGTTTGTTACTGTTAATTGCTGAGTTATTATTTTTTTTTCCAGTTTAATGGTTCAGTCTTTTTTTATTGCTTTTGTTTAAATTGGCTTATTAAAATAAAGTGCAGATAAGACAAAATAGTTTTTGGGAAAGAAGTTCGCTCATTTTGATCTCTCTCTTTTTTCGATTGTAATGCCTAATAATGTATTAACCAGTGTAAATCATGGAAAGTGTTTGGTAGATGGCAAGGGTTTAAAAACTCGTAGATTTAGCGGATACCTTGCAGTAATCTGTTATTGAGATTGAAGTTAAATAATTCTAACGTCTATTTCAATTACTTGTTATAAAAGTTTCACATTTTAGTTAAGCTGCCATGTTCCAATCCTCATTAAGTCCCCATCACAGTCATTTTTTCTTTAAAAAAAACAAAACAGAAATTCAGAAAGAAAAATTCAAAAAATGATGAAGTCACATTTTAAATAAAATTAACCACACCTGATATTTATATAAACACAATGTATTTTCTTGAAACTTTCTAAACTATAATAAATCTGGTGTGAAAAATCTCATAGCTTCCATATATTCATTTTTGTTCAAAATCTGTTACTTGCAACTTAGTTTTTAAAATGTCCTATATTTTTCGTGCCTTTTCTGTTAGGACTATTTAGTTTTGGGTGTAAAGGAACAGTTATAGAAATATTACACATTTTAAATATAGATGCTATCCCAATAATGAGTTAAAATAACTATAAAAAGATGAACAATAAATGGTAGGGAATGTAATCATATCAGAGAGGAAATGTAGTTAAAATAAAGTATGAAACTATTTACATTTATTGGTGTTAATCAAAGAATAACTTTTATCATGTGCCTTATTTTTGTACAAATAACACTCAGGAGATTCTCCCAACTTTTAGTGGAATTTCTACTTTCTAAACATAAGGAAAGGGAAAATATTGAAAGAAAATATTATGTTAATTGTCTTTTTTGTTTAATGTTTCATCATTATTTTGTTTTACTTTTATTATTTTCTTCTTTTTGCTCATGATTTATTTATAAAGCTCAATACTTTCTTGAGCCGTCAATGTACATAATAATTTAAAAAAGAATCAAATAAATGTTAAATAGTTAAAAGTTTTCTTTTTGTTCAAAATAGTTTTACATTCTTTTTTATTTTTTATATCTTGATTTAAGCTGATTGGTATTTTACAGGCTTTTTTCTTTTCCCTTTCTTATGTCTGAAATAAGTTTCCATCAGTGTGAAGAAAAAGCACCAAACATAAAAATAGTGTTCTTCTGAATAATTATCCTTTTTTTTAATTAATTTAGATTTTTGACCATCAAAATATGGGGGAGGGGGTGCTGCAATCTGAAAAATATAGTATTAATCGTTATATCTGAAGAGCTGTCAAAAGTTTAGGTGCTTTAATGTTAATTTTACTTACTGCATATCGAGAAGTTTTTAAAAAAAATCTAACTTTTTGCTCATAATTGTAAAATTCATTTATCCAGAGATAATTCCATGTTAAAGATAATTTTTAATTATTTTATTAAAAAAGAGTAAAATTTTTTAATTTTGCATCATTTTAAACTGTAATTTTAAATAGCAAAATTTGAATGCATTTTGTTGGAATTTAGTTCTTGATAAATAAAACTTTAAAAATATGGCTTTTTTCACATCATATGACTTAAACTATTCAACCAATTTTGTATTTTGTCATTTGAAATTATAGTTTAAAATAATGTAAAAATTAGTATACCTTGCAATTAAAATATTTTTTTTTACCCTCTTTAAAAGTCCAATAATAAACTATTGAATTATTTTTTGATAAGTTAGATTTATAATTGTGAGTAAAAATGTTTTAATTTGCTTAGAAAATTCCCAAAATCAGCAGAATATATAAAAAGCAAAATTAGCATTGAGGGACCCAAACTTTTAACCACTCTCTTGACCTCACTGTTGGGACCATATTTTTTAAATTGCAGCTATCTCCTATAATCTGGTAATCAAAAGTCAGATTATAGTTGTTTAATATTTTTTAGGTATTGGGCATCAGTTCCCATTCCGCATGGTACCAATGGATTTCACGCTGCTTGTCCTTTCTGTGCAACCCCTCTCTCGGGAAGTCCTGGTTATGCGAGACTTATATTTCAAGACCATGTTGATTGAAGTAAATTTCCCAAGCAAATGATTGCATTTTATTTCTGTGATGCTCTCTGCCAGAAAAAAGCAAGAGGAACTAATAAATGTACCTGACTAAGGTGACCATAAAGAATTTCAAGCTAAGTGGACTTAATCCATGCTACAGGACCACTTAAAGAAAAATTTTATTTTGTATTAAATGAACAGTTGTACACTTGCATCATGCCAGTAACAATCATCGTCATTGAGCTCATTACTTTATTATGAGAGCCAATATTTATGTGAAGCTTTATGTAATTGCTTTTGAATATAAATTGCAAGATGATTTGCTCTTATTATTTTCAAAATACTTGCAAATTTTTGAATGATGTGCAGTCATCTTTGAAGTTCCTTTATTTTTAGATTTATAAATATGTATGATATATTTATATAAATATTAAGGCAATGTATCTTTTCATGCATTCCTGTGTTTGTGTGAATTGCTTTTATTTTGCTTATTCTTCCAAATCTATTTGTAAATGTTTGTGTGAATTATTTTGGCAATGAATTTTACCGTAGGATTGTAGTCAAGTTTTAATCATTATTGTGTAAAATTTTCTAAAGAGATGCAATGTTTTTTTGGTTTTATTTTAAAATTTGTTAACAATGCATTCTTTTATTAGATTGTAGATATTTATTGTAATATATTATTTTAACCATTATTATTTATGCAAAGCTTCTATTTATTTTTAGTGACCAAAATTTTAACATTTATTAATTTTCTTACTAAATTTGTTTACAGATTAACTTTATTTGTATAAAACTATACATATATACACATACCAGTGTTTTTTTTTCCAACCTGTATTGTCTTATGATATGGTAATTTTTTTACGAAACACTTCAAGTTTTATTTTTTAAACACAAGTTAATCAAATAAGCAGAAATACTCCAACTTCAGTGCATTGAAAGTTAAAATGCAAAAGATTTAAAATATGTCTGTCCTTTCAACCCTGGCTTTAATCCCTAGCAGAGTGCAACAGTATTTTTCAGCTTACAGAGTATGTGTATTATACAGGAAAATTCTTTATGACAATAAACCAAATATGTACTTGTTTTCATTCTAATAATGAAACGGTAGCATGGAATTAATAGACCTCCAAAAATTTACTTCAGATCTATTCAGAGACCAACTATTTGAGATGGTTAAGAATTATTCTTTTCAGTGTTAATGAACTAAAGCAGATTTTTTTGAAAATTTATTAGAACTTAAACATTTGTCTATTTGAACTTACATATCTGTTACTTTTGTTTTACTTAATTATAAATTACTTATGTTTTGTGATCAACAAAGTTTTCTAAATTCTAATTTATTAAAGTAAAAATACGTAACCCTTCTTGCTACCACGAGGAAAAATATTTTCTGAAGCTGCAGAAAATTTGTAGTAGTTGAAGTCTATTTCTAGCTAATAAGTTGATATTTGAAGAAAAAGAGAAATTTTAATCTTTATCTACTTCTAATTTTTGTATTTATGTTTACTTGCATCAGTGTTAAAAATTGCTACATTATGTAATTGTTAACAAAATATTGTCATAATTTTAAATTTAAAATAAAAATCCTGAGAAATTTTAGTATTTGTTGAACTCTTGACCTGACAAATCTGCCTTAACTTGACGTTATTCGTATAACATGCTATACAAGTTGATTATTGTAGTTTGTTTGATAACTTTGACACAGTATCAAGTTATGAGCCACTGCTTGGAAAACATACATATATACTAATTGTTTGTAAATTAATTTGATCACTTAACATGTTTCTAAAGGACAGAAATGTAAACTCAATCATGCTGAATATGGATGTAACCTGTTGTTGCTGAAGTTTTTCATCCATGATCCATGCATATATTAAAATATGTTAAACCTTTAAATTTAGTTTTAGTCAATGGACAAAAGTTATTTTTTACAAGCACTTTATTCAATATCTATTTTTAATAATTCAGTGGAAAAACAATATTTTTGAAAAAATTATGTTAAAATGTTCATATTTTAAATAGTGACTCCTCTCCGTAATGATAGTAAGCATTATACTTAATTTGTCTTATTTAAAATGTTACTATTTTGTAGTTTAGATTTTTGTGGAATGTGTATATTAGTCTTTCAAGGAAAAGATGTCAATGTATATAGTATGTTAAGAGATATTTTTTTGTTGCAATTATAAAATGGTGAGCTGCATCAAAACTTATAATTTTTATAAAATTACATCTTTCTTCAAAATTTCCTTTCGTGTCATTTATAAAAAAGAATGCTTGTTTATTTGAAGAAAAACATTTTAAGTTGAAATGAATTGTAGAAGTGAATTTTTAGTTTACTATGCATCATTTGTTATTAAGCATATTAATCAGTATTTTAGTCAGTATGTATATTTCAATTTTTTTCTACTCCTATCAATATTTATTCTTTGCAAAATGAACTTGTAATGCCAATCACTATAGAGCTTTAGGTATATTGAGATTTTTTTATATACTAGTTTTTATTATTGGTGTTTTCAATACTTTTATTGTGGAACTAAATTATACATATTTTTCGTTTAAAACTATTAGTGAAATTGACTTTAATTTTCTCAATAGCCTGAAAAATATATTGTTCTAAGTTCAATTTAAAAATAATCATGTGATATTTTTAATTATAGTGTTATGTGAAATCTTTTATTCATTTGAAAACTTCAGTGAATTGTAACTTTAAGTTAGTTATATCTTTATTTAATATACATTTTTGATCATATTCTTCAAATTTTATCAGTATCTGTTTTTAGTTTTCATTTCCAATAACAAATTTATTGTGATTAACAAAAGCTTTGTTTTCATATATCTCCAAGTAATATTGCTTGCAACTGAAAAGGCAAGGCATAGTTTGGTTAAAATTGCTTGCTTCTGAAAATAGTGGAAGTTTAGTAGTTGCACCCTTACACAGCATCTAGTCAGCTTTCACAACTGCTTTTTAGATAGCCATTTAACAAGTTGAGTTGTGAAACCAGCGCTCATTTCTTACAATGAAATATTCATAATTTGCATAGCATTGCGCTTAGTTTTAAGAACATTTACATACAAAAGTAACCATTGCACTAAATAAAATTTTAAAAAAAGTAATCTAGAAAAGATAACAAAAACTTGATTTTAAATTTGGAACCTGGATTTTATTCTTTTAAGAACTTATTTTCAGTTATTTAATAAATGTGTCTAGTTCTCAGTAAGCAATACTTAGAAAATAAGAACTCTCACAGAATCTCACAGAACCAAAAATCAAAGGCTTCAAAAAAGATCACTCGAACCTTTAAAATTACATTTAACTGTAACTTTCAATTATTGTCTTGTGTCTTCTGATGTAGGCACTTGATATATAGGTTTTACATATTGCATTGACTCAATTTTAAATACTGTAATTCCTCAATATAGTTTTTTGCCAATCTAGATTTGTGTTGTACATCTAGTTAGTGTCTTCTACTATTGTTTAGCCACTGCCAATATTGGGGAGCCCAATGGTGTACAACTTTTAAACCTTTTGCGATGGGAGTTTTAAATGTGTGCTTATTGCTAATTCTAGGAGTCTCTTTCTCGAGCACCTGTTCAGGACCGAAGGATTTATGTTAAGCTAAAATCCATGAAAATACCAAAATATGAACATGTTCAACAATATAGTGTAAAGTTGATAAACAATACCTGCTGCATATATTTTTAATTTTTTTTTCCTTGTTTCATTACTTTTTTGAAATTTTTTTTCTCCAATTTAATGACTTGGCTTTATTGACCTTTTTTTAATGTTTAAAAATACTGTGAAATATACAGGTTTGACTAGTTAAATTTTTAATTTATCTAAAAAAAATCTTAATGTTGATTTTTTTCAACTGTTCCAACAATTTGAATCATAGTTGTATGACATGCTTACTTTAACAAGTATGCATAAAGCAGCATTTATAAAACATGCTCTATTTCAGAAACATCCTTTTCTCATGTTTATATAATTAAAAAAATTATACGACTACCGTTTTAAATTTTGATAAGAAGGTCAAATCTCCGTGTATCTTAAATCCCATGGAGCCACTGAACTTGTGCCAAAAATTATGGTTTTGGAAGTATTCTAGAACACTGTTACAAATACCCGACTGTCAGGAGTGAACGAAAAAGCACTCTTGTATCACGGGAAATGAGAGCGTTTCAGGCTGGCACGTATACGTGACAATCGTCGCAAAAGTGTTAAATATACAAAATTTTAACAAATTAATTCTGTGAGTGTACGTCAGAAAAGTTAAGATTTTTAGTTAAAATTTTTGATTGATCAACAATCTGAATAAAGTAAAGTTCTACTACATGAAAATATTTCAAAAAGGTGAAGGTTCCAAATTAAGTTTTAATAATTTGCTATGCTTTTTTATAGGTTTCCATTATTTTTAAAAATTAGTTCAACTGAATTAGATGATCAACTTTTAAGGAAAAAACAGAAATTAAACTAAGACTATTATTTTAAATATGTATTTTAGCAGCTTACTTTTTTGTAATACAATCTAAAATGTATCAATTTATTATTCAAATAATAAAATGCAAGCATACGATAACAAAGAAAGTTTAACCATACCTTACAACTACTATGAAATTTCTGTAGTTTCAGAAGATATTTTTAGCAATAGTAAAGGTAATTTATTAATATTTCAATAAATTTTGAAAGTATTGTTTACCACTACTAATAGTTATTTGAAAAGACATAAAGTTGGATAGACAAATAGTTATGTTCTTTAACAAAAGATAATCTGGAAAGAAGTTTTTATAAATATTATATTTGCTTAAAAATTTCTACTTCAGTTCCTTACCGCTGGTAAAAAATTCATCGAAAAAACCTCCAAGGGTATGCATATTACAACAAATTTATGAGACTCGTGACATTTGCAAAGTAATAGACATACTTTCTTTTTTTCCCTTCAGGACAAGCATTTTATATAGTTCATATAGATATAAAATTCATTCTGAACTAAGCCAAAAGGAATTTTCACAAGTTAATATACTGTAATTCAACACCTATATCTCGGCATCTTTAAAATAGTGTAAGGAAATAATTAATGGTTTGACTTATAATATAAAATCACTGAGCTTAGTTTTAATTATCAGGGTTTGTAGGCATTAAATTCTGAAACTGAGAAAGCGAATCCTGGGCTGAACATTTGATAATGGTAACAACCAAGCAATATTGCCTTTAATTGCAATATGTGATCAGGTCATTTTCATGTAGTTTATCATTATTAAACCATGTGGCTGCACATAAGATAGAAACAAACTCAATAGTTCATCTGTCCAGACTATTCCACTAATCACCAACTCTAAACAAACCAAAAGATTAAAAAAAAAAATAATAATAATTTGTAACAAGTTTTACTGCAGTCTTCTGTGCATTAATGTGATTTAACATTCTGTGGAAAATAATTGTGTGCAATTTTTTTTGGAATTTAATTCCGTCGAATCAATATTTCTGAAGGTATATTTAACCATGTTGTTTAATTGATTCATCTATTTCGGTTCAGAACAGTGTGTGTCAATTATATTTCTTCCATGGAAAAAAATTTTGTTAATAAGGAAACTAAATGCTCTATTATTTACATTAAAAAAAATATTCTGTTACTCTTACTTTAAATTTTAGATTTTTCACTACAAATATATGATTTTTACAGTTTTGTTATTGACTGTAAAAACTTATTATTTAACTGGAAAACTTGTAACTGTAAAAATAGATTTTTGAGGGTTGGGAAATTACTGGTTAAAAGATTTACTTTTTGATAAACATGAGTTCCATTGTAATTATGAGAGCTAGCAATAACTTATATTGCAAAACTATGTCATTAAAAACTTGAAAATTATTATAAAGCGATGAAATTTATTCTTTGTATGTCTGTAATAAAATTGCCTAGTTACAAAATTTATTTTACACTATTTTTTTCAATGTAATAAAACAATTTATAAATTTTAGAATTAAAATAAAAAGTATTTTCGTAATATTATGCTGTTGTATTTTTCTTGTACTATGTCAATTCAGTTGTATGTAAATTAAAATAGGATATGAAAACTGAAATAAATAATCCCAAGAAAACTGAAGAAAGAAATAAACTTGAAATAAAATTTTTTACTTCTTTGAAGAAAGTTTATCATGTTTTAACTTCACTTAGAATTTTAATTTTTTTTATTATTATGTTCTAATAACTAAACTACACTGATCACTTTCCACCTTTCTTAACTGTTAAGATCTTGCTGCTTTTTATCACTCCCCTCTTTTTTGCTCCTACCCATGGATTCATTACTTCTATAGCTGACTCAGCCTTTTCTAAAGATCAACCATCCTTATCTTAATGGCCCTAACAATAAACAAGTTAACAATTTTCTTTTGTTTCTTTTTGAAACCATTTTCAAGCTTGATATGAAAATTAAAACTCCCATCAAAACATATCAGCATTGATAATCATTGGGCACTTACCACAAACCCCCTAATGTAATCTTAGCTGAAATTCTTTATTCCTTGCACCAGCTCATCTTGGAAAAGGCAAATTTATTTCTTCCAAGGAAAATAATTTTATTTATAAAGAAACTAAATACTCTACTATTTACATTTAAGAAATATTCCGCTACTCTTACTTTAAATGTTAGTATTTTTCACATAATGAGGAATACAAAAATATGAGTCCCGCAGTGGACTGATCATTAAGACACGGTTCCCAGCAGATCACCGAAGTCAAGCATCACTGGCTGCGGTCAGTGTGCGGGTGGATGACCCACTTGGATCAGTCTGCGTAGGGACCGAGGGTGTGCGGTATTGGTCCTCGTTAAACTGTGCTAACGTAAAGTGCTCGACTTCGTGCGCAGGTCGTTGGGCTACCGAAGCGGGGTTGCCATCCCCTCTGCAGAGGATCAAAATTGTGATGGCATGTCTTCGGATCATCCTCAGGGATGTTTCCCAGACCGTCGCCAATAGCCCATTGTGCAGCTCTAGTGCGACGTAAATGAACTACAAAAGCAAAAATATGATTTTACAGTTTCGCTATTGAATGTAAAAACTTATTATTTAACTGGAAAACTTTTAACTGTAAATTGATTTTTGAGGGTTGAGAAATTTCTGGTTAAAAGATTTGCATTTTGATAAACATGAGTTCTATTGAATTATGAGAGCTAGCAATAGTTTATATTGCAAAACTATGTCGTAATAAACTTGAAAATTACTATGAAGCTAAGAAATGTCTGAGTTTTGTTTCATTCATATCAATGTAGATTCTAAAATGATCTCAGCTTTGTTCCACACCTTCATTGCGCATGGAAATGTATTCAGTCCTTATTATCGAAGTTTAAGCCCGCTGTTAGTGAGTGGGCATGTGACAACTTTGATCTACCCGTGGAGGGACAGAGGATGTGCCGTATCGGTCATCGTTGAACTGTTCTACCGTAAAGTGCTCGACTGCAACAAGTTAAAAGATATCTTTCCAAACTTATGCATAATTTAAGTATTGAACGTTCTTTTAGCAAAATAAAAGCTATGAAAACTTATTTAAGATCTACAAAGACCCAAGAGAGTTCTTTAGCAATAATTTCTATAAAAAATGAAGCCATAGAAACAATTGATTTTGAAGTGTCTATAAAATTATTTGCGTCTGTTAAGGCACGGAAAAATATATTTCAATGTTCAATGCTTATATATTTCCATGTCATAAAGGATTACATTGATTAAAAATATTACTTTTAATAGATATTTACTATATATTAGAATACTTGAGGTGATATTCTCATTAATTAATTAAACTAACGGCTTCATTTTTTTAACCTTAAAATCGATAATTGTTATTTATTTTCATGATGGGTTTCTTAAACCAGCATTCAGGGTTAATATAGTTTAATAATTTTCTGATTACAATTTAAAATATAGAAAGCAATTTTTTACAGCATTATGACACCAGAGAGAGAACTCAAAGGGTCTTTTTTAAGATTACTTTTCCAAAATTGTGTTAAGAGCTCCGTTTTCAGTATCGCCCGGGGCGTAAAAATGTCCTCCGCCGGCACTGAGAAAATTTCCATTTTTTTTTAAAGTTTTACCTCAACCTGATCTAGCCATATTAGCTTTGGTCTTCCTTTTTTCCTATTATTTGTGTAGTTTGCATATGATTGTTTTATGCATGCGTTTTTCCTTCATTCTTTTATAGTTAAGGGTGGAAATAGAAATGACTTGCCAGAAATGCAAAACTTTATCCCGGTGTGTCCGGTTAACTTGCGACCTCATACACCATTACTTTCCTTTGAAAAAAAAAAGTATGTTAATATTTTTTTAGTTTTAGTTTCTTAGAAAAAAAAATATAGAAATGAATAAATTGTAATGAAGCATTAAAAAAAGTAAATTTTAATTGTTTCGAAATAACTAACAATCAGTACCGTCTTTACGCATGGGCACACCCAGGCAGTGCCCGAGAGCCCCTAAGCACTAGGGGGCCTTTGAGAATCTTACTTTTTATAAATTGTATTTAAAAAAAACTAAGAATAAACAAAATTGCCGGATATATTTTTAAAAATAAATATATTCTATGGTATAAAGTGGGCATTTTGTTTTTCTTTCTACAAATAGTGATTGATTATCATGCAAAAAACAATAATTTTAATAGTTTATCACCAGGGAAACTAAAAAAGACAACCGAAATCTATTTTTCTACGTTCCAATGAAGTTTTTATGTGGATTCAGTTCTATAGGCTATTTTTTGCAGAGTTTACAGTTAATAATTAGTGGTGTCATCAGCCAGTTGTGATTTTTAACTTTTGTGCAATTTTTTTATAGTAAAAGCTTGTAATAAATTCTACTTATTTTGATTATTTTTACAAAATATAATTTTTATTTTTAATATAGAATATGGATCGCTGGTTAGTATTTGCAAAATTCCGTGCCAAAAAAGAAGAAGAAACATATTTTTAAAAAAATACATTCATTTTTTTTTTTTATTAGTGGTACGCAGCGTTACGAAAAATGTAGAAAGGGTACACAAAAGTCATAAGTTTGGGAAACACGGCTCTATTCAATTATTATAAGTACATGGCGTTTTTAAATTCGACTATATTTGTTTGGTAAGTATTTTGAGTATCTGATATGATCAAAAATAACTAATAAAATATTACTACTATATTGCTCATAAGTCATTTATCAAATTTTAGAACAGATAGTACATATTAGGACATCACAGGTTTTCGGTGGAATTTGAACTCTCTATCTCTACGCTGCAGAGTCCGTTCGGTCGCGGAGTTCAGTTGATGAAAAGGATCTATACTTCTCGCTTTTATCCTCTGTATCTTGAATCCTACAGTGGACTGATCGTATTGACACTGTTCTCAGTAGAATACCGTAGTCAAGCATAACTGGCAATTTTGTGCAGTTATTTCATATGATTTTTTGGCATAGGTTGTTCATAAACATTCTTTTTCGTTTGTAATTTTTAGTCGATCCCTCAAACCTATAAACTTTATTGATATGTATGAGAAATTGTATGATTTAACATTTCTATAGATTTAAATTAATTATCTTGATATATCTTGAGAAATATGAAAAAACTAGTATAAAAGTGCTTTCATTGCTTTGTCTAAGCTCTGTAGTATGTGAGCATTATTAGAAGTTTTCTTTTTATAATCCACTTGTTTATAATCGTCATAATTCATTAAAATTACCTAAATAAACGGTGCACTGCCCATTTCTTGGACATAAAGAAAAGTGCTTATTAATAGTTAATAAAAGCTTACACAGATATCTTTTATACTTTTCTTAATACAATCCCCCTTTTTTCCCCTTCGACGAGAAATGTAAAAACACTCCTTTTAATTTGTAAACAGTACTTAAAAATTATTCAATTTCTAAGATTTATTGATATTAAATCAAACTTTTCTTTTTCTTGATCAGAAAGTAAATGAATAAACAGTAACAAATAATTGAATACAAGCATCTTAATTGATTTTCATATAGTGGTCCATAACAAAATAAAATTTATCTACCATTTAAAAAGTTCTTTAAAAGTATTTAGTAAACTTTTAACGAAACTCCTAACTCATTTAAAGCCATTTACATAAACTTTCACTTTTCGTTTTCTTTTCTTTCAACTCTCTCAATACCAAATTGAAAACATTACTTCTAGAAACCGCGAAAATTGACATCTATTATTTTTTTTGCTCTAATTGTTATAGGAATTTATGTGACCTAAATGCTTATGATTGTTTCAAATCTCAAGATTCAACAGTTGTATTTCTTCTTTATGCTTTGTGAAGGATAAAATGTATTACGGAGAAAGGCGTTTAAAAGTTGTTTTTTGGTTCTTAATCTGATTATTACTTTCGAGGTAATAATTATACAATCTGAAAAGTATTACAAGGGACAGACGCCTTGAAAGTGATATGAATTAGAAGCTAGAAATTTATTTCCTGCAACAATAAATGAGGCTGCATACAGAACTTTACTTTTTAAGGACAAGTATAATTTTTAAAAACTTCAAAAGGACAAACAAAAAGAATGCAATGCTTGAAGAATTACAGAATCAAACAAATTTTACAATGCAAAATAATTAGTTAACCGTTGCAAAATTTACAAAACGTTTTACTACAAATATTTGTCATATTGTATTTCTTTTCTTAACTAACTGAGAAACTACCGAAAGAACTTAGGAAAATAAGCAAAACCTAAAAAAAATTACGATTAATTAAAAGTTTTAAAATTGATGAAAATATGGGATTTTATCAAACTGCTGCGCTGCTAAAGAATACAGTCAGTCAACTAGTCTGGACCATCACTTATCTCTATTATTACAACATACATGTAAAGTTCAACAATAGTTAGTCTAAAGTATGGACTAAAAATAGGAAAACACTTCAATACCTTGTATAGTTTGTCTAAAGTAAGAACTCCTCTAGCCATTCGTCTGGATCTGCGGCTGTGACTATGGTAACGAGGTATAACGATTTCAAGAAGGGGTGTGAGGTCACAGTTTAGGATAGGTTC